ACCCCCCCCCCCCCCCCCCCCCCCCCGGAGAAAAAAGTCTGGAAGAAACACTGGTTTGTCGAAGCCACAGAAATTATACCTTACATTGCTACAGCAGTAAAAAAAAACAATAAAAAAGCTGTAGACTGGGGTGAGGGGTGGGGGCAAGCCAATTATGCGACTTACCGACGTCATCGCTTGGCCAGTGGTGTCGTCATCAGCCTCTCCTTGTAAGCCCGCGCCTTTTTTTGCAGGGTCTTTTTTTAGTGGCCCACGCGGCGGGCGGTCTGACACACCAGGACCACCAACCTGTGGACCACAGTCACGTGTTACGACACATTAACATTTTTTTTAAGTATTACAGTACAAACTTAAATTCAGAGTCCACAGTGGTAGGTTTAGGATGAAGACAAGGCAAAAAAAAAAAAAAATCAGATTTTATTGAATGATCTTCCCTACCTCCACCGGTCGTTGTGTTCTCTCCCCTTTATTGGTCTGGCGTTAGCGTGGACGAGTCTGGAATCCCACAGCAGCAGATCCCCGGCCCGGGCTGGAACCCGCTTCCTGCGGCACCCTGGGGACAACGATAACATTTATTACTTAACATCAGAGTTTCTTCCGGGCATCTCTCCGAAAGTAATTGAATTTATATAGAAAAAACACATACTTATACCAGTTTCCGCCCCCCCGGAATTTGTTGTCCGCAGGTACCAGATAATTAATTAATGCAGTCACCTAATTGCAAGTACCAGCTAATTAATTAACCCAACTTATTGCATGTGCCAGCTAATTAATTAACCGACCTAATTACAGGTAACAGCTAATTAATTAACCCACCTAATTGCAGGTACCAGCTAATTAATTAACCCACCTAATTGCAGGTACCAGCTAATTAATTAACCCACCTAATTGCAGGTACTAGCTAATTAATTAACCCACCTAATTGCGGGTACCAGCTAATTAATTAACCCACCTAATTGCAGGTACCAGCTAATGTCCTCGTCTCTCATTCTCCACAGTCCTGTGTTGACAGATCGGATAGCGGCCTTGGTGTTCTGGGCATAGAAGGCCTCCAGGTGTTCATGGGAACCTTCTAGAACTTCAAACGTCCAGTCGTCCTCGTCAGCCTGATATTGAAGATGTAAATACGTGGGGTAATGTGGGTGGGATGTCTTCAGAGGCGTAGCGACATGGTGGGAGGGGGAGGCAGGGGTACATATGTCCCCGGGCGCCGACCCTAAAGGGGGGGGGGGGGGCAAAATAAGCTCATTTTAGATGCAATTTGAATTATAAATATAAAAAATATATGAGGGGGGGGGGGCGCCAAATTGAAAGTTTGTGCCCGGGAGGGGGTCGCTACGCCTCTGGGTGTCTTCCGTAATTAATGACGTCATGTATTTTAAATTATGTTTATATTTACCTGAATCTTTTCACTTCGTCAGAAATAACCAACAACCCCCCCCCCCCCCCCACATACACACACACTTAAAATGATGCCACGAAGTTCAACTCTAATCCAGGAAAGACAACTGAAACGGACAATAATGGTCACGATTGTCTTTTATTAATTCAAAATAGGCCTAAATACTTTTCTACTTGCGTTGCCTTTCTTTAAGTAGCTTGTCACAAAGTGTAACACGCCTCCTTTTTGTCCATTTTCGGCCGCTGGGAATAAAACCACGCCCACTTTTTCTTACCGTTTCCAAATAAACCGCCCCTTGGTATGCGTGAAGGCCTTTTCCGGGCCGCGCATTGGTCGACGTGTAAGCCCATGGTTGCTCGGGCTGTCGAACTCTTCCACGCCCATTTCTGGAGGCTGACCAATCGCCACGGCGTCCCACGCTACTAAGTAGTTGGTCAGTACCCCATAACTCAGCGAATCTATTCTTGACCTTTTAAATAAAGGAGAATCAAAATCGATATGATGTACAGGTTATGACTGGAAATAAGATAGTGACACGTCAAGTGTTTCTTCCAGACTTTTCTCTCGGGGGGGGGGGGGGGGCACTTGAAATTTTCGGGGGGGGGGGGCGGTAGACTTTCTTCGGGGGGGGGGGGGGGGGCGGACGCTGTTAAAAGTATATATTTTCTATATAAATTATATAAATTTCATTTCGTTTGGGGGGGGGGGGGGCGGTAAAAATTTTTCGGGGGGGCAGACACTAGTAAAAGCGTATGTTTACTATATAAATTCCATCTCATTCTGGGGGGGGGGGGGGGCAGAGTAGACTTTCTTCGAAGAGATGGCCTGGAAGAAACTCTGGATACGTCGTCCAAAATCATTGTCATGATTTTATTTGGTAACTTTTTACCACCTCGTCACACTAGCTTAAATCGCTTAAATCGCCTATTAAATGACGTCATACTTCACCCGCCCCATCTCCATCTCTATCTTCTTTTATGTCATACGTTTAAAATGTCTATTATTTAACTTCAAAAAGAAAAGCAACGGTATTTAAAATTTTTAAGAAGATGTCCTCATTTTCAAAGTTTGATACAAGATCTATAATTAACTATCCATTCGTTGGACAAACAGTAGGCCCAGTGGCATCATGAGGTGGGCACGGGGAGGGATGGAGAGCGGTCTACACTGGGTGACACCATTCGGGGGTGACACCACAATGAAAAATCGTAAAATTTAAGCTTACAATGTTTTTATCCAGTTTTTTTTTTTTTTTTTAATATAGGATGAGAGGGGGTGACACCAAACCGAAATTGAAAAAATGTTTGAGGGGGTGGAGTGACACCATCAGTTACCTTACGTCACTAAGGTAGGCCAGTGTAAAATAAACGAAACTCACCTGCAAGCGGACCTCCCATGCTGGTTTCAAGTGACCAATCCTGTAGTTTCTAACAATGGAGTGGACGCTGTAAGGGACATCGCCATTGGCGAAGCTCGATTTCATCCAATCAAAAAATTCGTCTTTCAGCTGGGCCGTGGTTTGGGACGGCGTTACGGATGATGGTGTAGCCTTTCTCCTCCAGCTCATCTCTATGGGAGACTGTAAACATCGTCTTGGTTTGCTACACGAGGTAGAAAAATGTTTGCATGAGGCTACAGGGGATACGTGATACAGAAGTAGAGGGGTGTGAGGTTATATGACAGGGGGGTAGCGAACAATGTTTTTTCTAAGCTGCGCGGTAGAGCGGCCGCGCAGTGGTTTTGAAACTGCCGCGCATTCATGTTGTAAAATACATACATCTGTAATGACGCAAGGTTACGTCAAGGGTAGGTTAAGCAGATAGAGGTTAGCAGAAACAGACTATAGCGAGTTGGTTAGAGAGACCAATGAAAATGCAGGAGCTGACCGGTCACGTGGGACGGTCAGCTGACCACTGAAGCATGGGTCTGCAGTTAGTCAGGAGTTGATAGCTAGCAAAGAGAACGGTCAGTAGTTAGGTAGAGAAATGTAGAGTTAGGTAGAGACGATCGGACATATGTAGAGTTAGATACAGTTAGATAGTAGTAGTAGTACAGTGTAGATTAGTAGATACTAAGTCTGTACACATTTAATAAATAAACAAACTGTCGATTTGCACCCCCGTCAACCTTTCAATTTATTTTTCCAATCCATTTTGGCGCCCCCTAAGGTAGGCGCCCGGGGACGTATGCCCCCCCCCCCCCCCCTCGCTACTGCATTGGGTAGACAAGCATGAATGGATGAAATACACAAGTCGACCAATACGATGCTATAAGGGGCATATAATGATACAAAGATTTATAATGTAGATACACATATATAAGGCAATAACGGGTCAACAAGAATATGAGTCTCAAGCAATTATAAAAATATTCTGTGTTATTTTGTTTGTCCATAGATCACATCATGCATAATAAGGGGACGTCATAAATGGCGTGCCGTATCAACATTTTTTTTAAATGGCGATTTCTTTCTAAAATATTGATTAGTTGGTTTTTTTTTTCCAATTTAAGGATAGTGATAGATATTTAATATATTTTACAAAAAATTGTTTGAAGATAAGGCAAAATAAACTTCAAAATTTTAGATTGAAAATTATGTGAGAACAATTGTGATCAAGCAGTGTGACGTCATGTATTGACGACCTCTCAGTAAATATGTGTCTCGCTCTCCCATTGTCCCGACCCCTCCCTTATAACATGGCTTCCACAAACCCCATGTTTTCCTCTTTCCAGTCATTTCCCTATACAAACTTTTTACCCACAATCCTAAAACGTCTTTCATTGTGTGTATTAAGTATACTAAATGAATTCAACGCACACTTTCTCTCACAACCAAGTAGCCAGTTTTAACTCAAACTGTATGATTAGGGTAACTATATGTGATTTTAATTGTATGTTAGCTTAACTGTATTTTTACAAGTTAGCCTATCGCTTCTTATGTAAGCCTCAAGGTCGTATGTCAGCAAGTCTGTAATTAGGCTTGTCTGCCTTTACCTCTGAGTATTTTAGCCTACCTACCTGTATATTAACCTATATAACTGTATGTTAGCCTAGCTACCAGTATGTTAGCCTACCTACCTTTTTGCTAGCCTACCTACTTATATGTTAGCCTAGCTACATATATGTTAGCCTACCTACATGTATGTTACCCTAACTACATGTATGTTCGCCTATATACCTGTATGTTAGCCTACCTACCTTTTTGCTAGCCTACCTACCTGTATGTTAGCCTACCTACCAGTATGTTAACTTAACTACCTTTGCGCTAGCCTACCTACATATATGTTAACCTAGCTACATATATGTTAGCCTACCTACTTGTATGTTATCCTAGCTTACTCTATGTTATCCTACCTCACTGTATGTTAACCTAGCTACATATATGTTAGTCTACCTACCTGTACGTTATCCTAGCTTACTCTATGTTATCCTACCTACCTGTATGTTAGCCCAACCACCTGTATATTAATTAGCCTATCACCTATCTCAGTGCCTGTTAACTTGAAACTTTTTTTTTATTTAAAGATTTAAAAAAAAAAAAAACTTATAACCCAGCTTTGGGCTCAGAATTTAGATAACTTACAGTACAGTACTCGAACATTTTTCTTAAGATCATTTAACTGTCTTCTTCTTGATCTACATATACGACTTTCATTTGACAGTTTCACATTGTGAATAACAGGGGTGACAATGGTGTGAGAAAGTATGACAATGAAAGGTGGGGGTTGGGGCATGGAAGTGGGGGTCGGTAAAAATTGAAGGAGGGGAGGGTGAACATGGAAGGGGGGGGGGGGGTAAAGACAAATGAAGTAGGGAGGGGTGATGTAATGAAATGTAAGTGGGGGTGGGGTAAGGAAGGGAGGAGTTGAGGTTATGGAGTTAGGAGGGTGTGGCAAGGGAGGTGGGAGACTAGTGTGTGTGTGTGGGGGGGGGGGGGGAATAATGGACTCAATATATAACAAAATAAGAGGGCAGATGTGACGTCACCGGCCCTATCATTGTCTCCGCCCACGCTGATGAGATCCTATTGCTGCGGTGTCAGCTGTCACGTTAGTGATGAAGTGGTAGGGGTCAATAGGTCAGGATGTATAACAGTGGAGGTGGGGCAGGGAGGGAGAACTGAATGATTAGCCCGTAAAGGTCACAGAACGATCAGACAATAGTGGCTAAAGTACACACCGTAGACTACACACGTGTTGGGGGGGGGGGGGGGGGTTGTCCATAAATGACGTCACACTCGTAGGGGGAAGGGGGGTCGGTAATTTTGGGACGGTGTATGATGAGGGGAAGGGGGGGGGGGTGGTTTAGATGGTGTGACGTCACACTTTTTTCATTATAAAAAAAAGAAATGTTAGAAAACGAATTTTAGACGTTATTTTGCGTTTTAGAAAACTGTTTTAATAAATTGTATTAGGAATTGATTAAAATACTCTGTTTTGACATACTTCAGACAAGAGTTTGGAAAAATATCGATGTTTAAAAAAAAAATCAACAGCAGGAAGGTTGTAGGATGAGGTGTGACGTCATTTTTGTGACGACGTGTGACGGAGCGGAGGGGGGGGGAGGTAAAAAATCGTCAAAAAAGCGTGACGTCATTTATGGATGACCTCTTATTCAAACAACAACACACACGTAGGTGGGCACAGTGGAGGTCGTATACACCTGTGCGGTTACTAAGACCGACGAAGTAATAACAGACAATGTATAATGCATGCAGTTTAACCCCGGGCCATGTATAAAATAAATCTAGACTCTGACTAACTTAGCATTCGAACTCGGAGCTTCTAGGTCAGCTATCGCACTATTTTAAGAAATCTAAAACGTAACTAAAAATTCTCAAACTTGTTTAAAACAAGTTACACCATTAAAAAAATAAGATAGGAAATTCTAACGATCTAAGAAAACTTTTTAGCGCCTATAGAATATGCCACAGTTGCCGTGAAACTCCGCCCCCACCCCCCCCCCATCCCCATCCCAGAAAGCACATGGATAACAAATCGTGTTCTGCGTGTGTAGCACTCTATAAGGGATGTGTTTAGAATTAAGTAACGGTGCGTGACATGAGGGTCTGATTTTATTACGTCACACTTTCGCGTTTTAAATTATTTTTTTAAGCCGAGATCAGCGAAGTCCTCTGCCCTAAGGATCCGCAGCTCTTCTAGAGTACATTCCATACACTACCCCCAGACCACACCGGCACTTATCATCGTATGTCTTAATTAGTCCAACCTTCATTAATTGTACGCGCATATTCGGCAGCTAAGTTTCGTAAAAATTTGGAACTTTTCCAACAAATTTATGTACATACGCTCATCTGCGTCAAGTACAGGTGGATCACAATGGCGTTATAAATTAGGGGGGGGGGGGCAGGTGTGGTGGGGCGGGTAAGGGGGGGGGGGTGATTGGTGCAGAGCATGGTCCATACTTCTAATGCTCCGCCGACACTGTTTCCCACAAAATGTTTAACGCCCGCGACGTTTTATTCTAGCTCCATCTATTAGTCATTGTTCTTTACCTGGGCTAGCAAGGGAAGCGACTCTATAGATCCTTAGTTTTCAAGGGAGGTAAAGCTTTACACAAGCAAGTACCTTTTATTTTTAAATATACAATTTTCGCTAAGCTAACACTAAAGTATTTATTAATTTAAGTTGTAGCATTTTATTTATTTTTATTGCAAGAGTATATTAATTTGGTTAATTATTTCTCTTTGCAGAATGTTAATGATTATTTCATTAGCGAAAACTTTAGCGTACTAAATAATGTTAACTGTATTTAATCAATAAATTTTCTTTTTACTATATTCAATAGAGTAAAGAATTCCTACTGTCACAAATATTATTTCTTTATTTCCTTATTTATAATGTATATTACTTTATCATTTATTCCAACTAATTTCCATGTTGTACATATTGTAAAATAAGTTACTTCACTTAGTTTCACATTCATATTTGAAACTTGATTTTTTTTTGTTAAACATTTCAATTTACCTGCAGAATTTGGCATACATTAATACTAATAGTTTCGCTGTCTGTCTATCTATCTATCTATCTATCTGACAAGAACGCTGTAGAGAAAACACAAGCAAAATAAAAACATGCACAGTAATTCGAAAAACGAAGTATGACGCGGTCACATTTAGCACAGAGTAGAAAATAATCTCAAGCCGGAGAGTGCACACAGTAATATGACGTCATTGATTTTCGAGTAAACATTGAATAAAAAGGAAATTTTGTCTAATCTAAATGGTTTGCGTAAAGAGTTTCTTGCATACAATTCTTCGGGTAGGGGCGAAGCCCCACCCCCCGCGTAAGAACGTCTGAGCCCCCCCCCCCTCCCCAACTCAAAAGAAATTTCTTTATCGATACTCTATAATAAAATTACCGCCTAATTAATGTGTCTAATCTAAAAAGTGGTTTTCTTGCAATTTCTTTAATGCAATTCTTGGGTAGTGGCTAAGCGCGACACCAGTGTTTCTTTCAGACCTTTTCCTCCTCGGAGAGGGGTGGGGTACTTGAAATTTTCGGGGGCGGGGGTAGAATTTTCGGGGAGGGGGGGACACTGGAAAAAGTATATAATTATATTTCGTTGAATGGTACGGTAGACATGTTTTTGGGGGTGGGGGGTGGGGGGGGGGGGTTGTGTGTGTGTGAGGGGGGGGGGGGGTGGTTTTAGTTTAGAGAAAAGAGACAGCACTATCAACCTAGCGCCCGGTGTATCCTTCCTCAACGGGCCATTTTTCTCGTACACAAATGTTAATGTAATATGTTTCACTGAAAATAAAAATATTTTGACAAAAATTACTAAATACTGCCTGTTGCAGTTCATACACTATTTTTTAATAACTCTAAAAAAAGTAAAAAAGTAATATATTATTTTAGTTGAAAAGAATAAAGTGGGCTTTAAAAATGAATAATAATTGATCTTTTTGTTTAATTTTTACTTTCTCGAGTAAAGAGTATAGAGGAAGTATTCTAATCGTGCCTGATAATTATCATATATGTTGACAGCCTTTGCCGTTTTACACCTCCATACTTTATCGTCTACGGAAAATAAAGGATGCATTGTAATAGTGCAAACAATCTAAAATCGAGATTTTGACACATTTTGACGTTTTACATCCGTCCGGAACGCAACGACTTCGTTTTGCAAATTTGTCTGTTTGTGTTGTGTAAGTTAAGACGGTAACTTGAGTAATGTTTCAGTTTGATTGGCGAAATTTCATGCGTAATTATTATATTTTATTTGTAGTTTTCTTTCAGCTTTTGAGCGAATTCCGGTCACAAGAAGTAATACTTTACTCTATTTCCGTGAGGACACTAAAGTTGGCTACAGTTTCAGTTAGGTAGAAGACTTTTCATAAATGGTGCTTTACTATATTTCTGGTTTCTAAAATAGCGATAATTTGAGTATCGTTTCCGTTAGGCGAACGAATTGCCATACATTTGTATAAGATCCTACTCTCCTGATTCTTACACATTTTGAATGATTTTCGGTGACCGGAAGTACAACTTAACATTATTTCCGATTTCTCAAAAAAAAAAATCACTTTTAACGGATCTATTTCTTTCAAACTTTTCTCTTAGATCAAGATTCGATGACATAGCACGTTGACGTAATTAGATATTTGATGAACTTTTTAAAAAATTAATCAATGTTTTCTCATAAACTTTTGTATCCAGTGACATGCAAACGTTTATCCGTGCGTTTGGTGCGCATTTTTTTTTACGCAATTCTTTACTATTTTTACTTTCTCGTATATACGTAGTATAGAGAAAGTATTGTAATCGTGCAAAAAAAAAATCGAGATTTTTACAAATCTCGACGTTTTACACCTCACTAATACGGAAAAACATAATTTTGCAATCTTGTCCGTATGTCTGTGTGTGTGTGTGTCTGTGTGTGTGTCTGTCCGTTTGTAAACACGATAACTTGAGTACCGTTACAGCTAGGTTGATGAAATTTCATATATAAGTATTTTATCAAAATCGTAGATCCGTATCAACTTTTGAGCGATTTCCGATAACCGGAAGTGGTACTTTTCCTACTTTGAATTTTTTAAAAGCCTATAACTTGAGTACTATTTCAGATAGATAAATGAAATTTCACATGTAAGTAAAAGATCTAATTCTCTACCTTCTGTTAAATTTTGAGTAATTTCCGTTGACAGGAAGTAGTAATTTACGCTACTTCCGATTTCTCAAAAAAACTAATGTAAATTTTAAAAGTACTAATAATATTGCGCACTATTATGCGCTTTTTTATTTCGCGTTCACTTGGTGTGCAATTAATTTGTCTACGAGATTTTATTCTATTTTTAAAACTTTAAGTATTTAAAATGGATTAAAAATCATGTCTATAGCCCGAGTTCCCATCCCCTGTTATTTTATATAAAAATATTCGAGAAAGTTTAGGGGAGATCACTACCGGTTTATTTAAAATTATGTATACGACAACGTTTAGGGGAGATTATTCCCGCTTTTTTACAACGTTTTTTTTTATTTCTTAATTCAGATTCATATCTCAGTTTTCTTTGCTTCGACCTAAAACGGTGAAAAAAAACGATAATTTTGTTCAAATTGGGTATTATTGTTATACATGAGCATTCGCGGAAAGAGGAGAATATCTTTAATTTTCATTTTTATTTTTATTTTATTTTTTTGTAGTTGGAGATTTTTTTTTACCTTTTCCTCTATTCCCCCTTTGAATTTCACTCGCTTTCACGTCTTTGTCTCTTTTACATTCCTCCCTCTCCCTCCCATTCTTTGTAAGCTCTCTCTCTCTCTCTCTCCCTCTCCCTCTTTCACTCCTGATGTTAGCTGTAGTTCTCTTTCTAATCAAATCACGTTTGTCTCTATGTTACTTTCTGGCCATTACTTACCTGCCTTTATACGTCGATTACGTCCCCGCACGAATGTAAGACGTATATGCATATTTTTTACTATTTCCACAGGGCGACTGTGTGGCTCATCCACAGAAAAGATGCGTGGCCTAACCACACATGCAAGACGCCAGCTTCACATATGTCTGCTGATGTCAGCATATTTTGCGACCGTTATCGCAGTAAAAATGGATGAGGTCTTCGCCCGGGAGAGCGGTAGGTGTCAAGTTATCTCCCTCTAAAGCAGGGGTTCCCAACCTTTTTTACTCTAGAGCACATTCTAAAATATCGGTAGGGAGGCAGGCACCACCTATTTTAAATCGACAATTTCCTTCCAGAGGCGTAGCGACCCTTCCCGGGGACAAAACTTTCGATTTGCACACCCCCCTCAATCTTTCGATTTGCACCCCCCTCCTCCCCCCCCCCCTCCCTCAAATTTTCGATTTGCACCACCCACTCAAACTTGCGATTTCCATCCCCTTCAACCATTCAATAATTTTTATGAAAAAAATTCTTTCTCTGTCGAATAGTGAGAGGCGGGCACATACGAATCATGGCGCCCGCGGGTACGGGGTTGGGAACCCCTGCTCTAAAGACTGTTTGTTAGCTACGCATTGTCTCCCTTACATCGTTCTTTAAAAGAGGTTGCTACTCTATTTAAATTTAGAAGGAGGGGGAGGGTAATTTTTAAAATATCACTTATCTTTAAGAAAATTCAAACCAATAGAACAGATTATAATATTCGGTTGTATTTTTTAGATTTTATAACGCACTTTAAAAGGTCAGAGGTCATAATATTAATTGGTAAACAAAGACTTCAAATATGTAGTTCCAGTACGTGGATGAATCCATCTTGAAGGGAGTCCTACGGTTTGTTCATTTTATTGTAATGACTCTCGGTTTTTAAAAGAAATAAATGACATAAAAAATAGCCGCGGACTAATTTGTTGCAAAGTCTCCCGACAAAAACGTTTCCTTTCAATAAACACAACACTTGATGAGTGCCTCAAACATATACGATAGACTTAATTGATACAGTTGCTTACAGAGTTTCTTCTAAGCATCTCTTCGGGGAAGCGGAGTCCCCCCCCCCCCACACCCTTCTCCCCTCCCCCTCGGAACCAACTGGATTAGAGATAAGCAGTGTTTTTTTCCAGACTTTTTTCTCCAGGGGGTGCTCTTGATATTTTCCGGGGAGGGGGGGGCACTGGTAAAAGTAGACTTTCTTCGGGGGTAGGTGGCTCTGCCTTCCCCCCCCCCCCCCCCCTGAAGAGATGCCTGGAAGCAACTCTGGAGATTAGAGACATTGTTTTTAGTACAGTCAACATAAAAGCTCACGACATTATGTACTGTAGACGAAAAATGCCTTCTCCCCACCTAAACCCCCTTTCCACCACGACCATTATTTAAAGTAATACCGCCATCGTATCCCAATTATTTACTATATTTTGAAACTGCCATTCCATCCCCATTCTGTACTGTAGTGCTAAAAACCCTCACCCCCCCCCCCCCTCCCATTCTTTACTGTAGTGTGAGCACCCCCACCCCCCATTCTTTACGGTATTGTCTGGACTGTATTGTAACCACCCCACCCCCCCTCCACTTTTCACATTTTAGCACCGTCATTTTGGCACAACCAGGCCCACGGTGAGTTAGAGCAAGCGCTCAAGGAACGACAACTGGGGCTAGCGAAGAATGTAATTATCTTCCTTGGCGACGGTATGGGGCCCTCATCGGTGACTGCCGCTCGCATCCTGGCTGGGCAGAAGCTGGGCCACCCCGGGGAGGAGCACCAGCTGTCGTTTGAGAAGTTCCCATACACAGGTCTGTCTAAGGTAGGTCATGTTTACAAGTTGATGAACTAATACTATACTAAAATGACGTCAAGGTAGTACAACTAGGTAGAAAAAAATTCGAATAATAGGCTTAGAAAAGTCAATTTCATTAATAAAAGCAGTGCGCGCTGATTGCCCCATGTTCGCATATTATATTACATTTCTTTTCAAAATAACTGTTTTTGTCATTGAATACAAAATTGTTTTTGTTACTTCCCATATCACAAAATTTCAAATGCAAGGGAAATAACCTTAAATTGAAAACGTTAGAAATACAAATATAATTCATATTAAGAGAGTAAACATAAGCATTATTTTAATTTTAGATTACAAAATACTAATTTCAGATTGTAAATAAATTGTCAACCAATCTTTGTAATTTTGAAAATGTAAAAATTGGTTGTCACTATTTAAATAGAAACCCTTTAGCTCTTTCAAAAACCTAATTTGTGGACCTGTGTTATGTAGATTTCGTGAATTTATTATGTGTAATACTGCTATATTGACCTATAATGTCAATTTTACTTAAATATTACAACACTGATGATAACAGAAAAATGTATTGGCTCGAAAAATAATAATTCCTTATACAACTCTTTACATTTGAGACCAAAAAAAAATACTTACCAACACTCTAATATGAAATTTGAAGCTTGATGAAGGACTCCTATGGTTATTGTTAATTTGATGAGGGTAGAAAGTTTTATTTAAGGTGTCTTAGTTTACTCTACATATCACATATGCTACTTATAATGTAATACTATCATTTTCTGTTTATCACAAATACATTTCAGTTCTAGTTATAATAAGCCCATACCACCCCCAACCCACATCACCAAAAACAACTTTATTCTTAGACTTCACAACACCCTTCCTAACTCTCAACAGAACATCGAATAATCATTTAATTAAACATTAAATTTGCAGGTGAAAAAAAAAAGATTTTTTTAAATATATTTTGTATAGTACTAAAGATAACATAGCAAGAAAAACTGGCGCTGTAATTTAAATGTCTGAGGCAAAATAATATTTAAATAAACCGGGAGTGATCTCCCCTAAACTTTCTCGAATATTTTTATATAAAATAACAGGGGATGGGAACTCGGGCTATAGACATGATTTTTAATCCATTTTAAATACTTAAAGTTTTAAAAATAGAATAAAATCTCGTAGACAAATTAATTGCACACCAAGTGAACGCGAAATAAAAAAGCGCATAATAGTGCGCAATATTATTAGTACTTTTAAAATTTACATTAGTTTTTTGAGAAATCGGAAGTAGCGTAAATTACTACTTCCGGTCAACGGAAATTACTCAAAATTTAACAGAAGGTAGAGAATTAGATCTTTTACTTACATGTGAAATTTCATTTATCTATCTGAAATAGTACTCAAGTTATAGGCTTTTGAAAAATTCAAAGTAGAAAATGTACCACTTCCGGTTATCGGAAATCGCTCAAAAGTTGATACGGATCTACGATTTTGATAAAATACTTATATATGAAATTTCATCAACCTAGCAGTAACGGTACTCAAGTTATCGTGTTTACACACGGACACACAGACACACAGACACACAGACACACACACAGACATACGGACAAGATTGCAAAATTATGTTTTTCCGTATCAGTGAGGTGTAAAACGTCGAGATTTGTAAAAATCTCGATTTTTTTTTTGCACGATTACAATACTTTCTCTATACTACGTATATACGAGAAAGTAAAAACGAAATCTAAAACTATTTCCTTTCTCGGAAGTTTCAGCTGTCGTCACCCCCCCCCCCCCCCTCACACACAGTGTTTCTTCCAGACTTTTTTCTCCGAGGGGGGGGGGCGCTTAAAATTTTCGGGAGGGGGGGGGGGGCGGTCAACATTTCGGGGGAGGGGCGGACACGAGTAAAAGTGTATGTTTACTATATAAAATCCATCTTATCCGGGGGGAGGGGGGATGCTCTGCCCCCCCCCCCCCCCCGAAGAGATGCCTGGAAGAAACTCTGCTCACATACACACACCCACACCTCCCACGGAGAAAATTGTCCGAAAGAGACCTCGATCAGATGCGTTCTAATAATTACACAAATGGTGTTTTTCCGTAAGTTTACTGTGTCCTAACTTAGCTATGTGTAACACGCGTCGTCACATATATGAAGCTGCTTCAGAAATATGTGAAAACTACAAACGTGTGTAGATGTGTGGGGGGGGGGGGGGAAGACCTCTTACTACCATTTTACTTTCTCGTATATACGTAGTATAGAGAAAGTATTGTAATCGTGCAAAAAAAAAAAATCGAGATTTTTACAAATCTCGACGTTTTACACCTCACTGATACGGAAAAACATAATTTTGCAATCTTGTCCGTATGTCTGTGTGTGTGTGTCTGTCTGTGTGTGTGTCTGTCCGTGTGTAAACACGATAACTTGAGTACCGTTACAGCTAGGTTGATGAAATTTCATATATAAGTATTTTATCAAAATCGTAGATCCGTATCAACTTTTGAGCGATTTCCGATAACCGGAAGTGGTACTTTTCCTACTTTGAATTTTTTAAAAGCCTATAACTTGAGTACTATTTCAGATAGATAAATGAAATTTCACATGTAAGTAAAAGATCTAATTCTCTACCTTCTGTAAAATTTTGAGTAATTTCCGTTGACTGGAAGTAGTAATTTACGCTACTTCCGATTTCTCAAAAAACTAATGTAAATTTTAAAAGTACTAATAATATTGCGCACTATTATGCGCTTTTTTTATTTGCGTTCACTTGGTGTGCAATTAATTTGTCTACGAGATTTTATTCTATTTTTAAAACTTTAAGTATTTAAAATGGATTAAAAATCATGTCTATAGCCCGAGTTTCCATCCCCTGTTATTTTATATAAGAATATTCGAGAAAGTTTAGGGGAGATCACTCCCGGTTTATTTAGACTAAATACGGTTAACCACACTCTCAACCGCCATACCCATCAACAGAGGCGTAGCGACGGGGGGGGGGGGGGTACAAATCGAAAGTTTAGGGGAGGGGGTAAAAAACGAAAGTCTGAGGGGGGTGCAAATCGAAAGTTTGTCCCAGGGCGCCGGGAAGGGTCGCTACGCCTCTGCCCATCAATGTTTTTACAACAAAAAAAAGGTAAAACTCAAATTCTTGTTCCCATCTACTCTCTGTCTATCTCAAGACCTACTCGGTGGACAGGCAAGTCACTGACTCGGCGTCAGCTGCCACGGCGTTCCTGTGTGGCGTCAAGACGAACCGCGGGGTGGTGGGGCTGACGGCCCAGGCAAGGGAAGGCAACTGTAGCTCCGCCAAGGGAGCTAACGTCGACTCGATTCTCCGCTGGTCGGCGAGGGCAGGTACGTTTTAACATTGATGAGTTAATTGATCAGCCACTCGTCTAGAGTTTCTTCCAAGGGGCGGGGGGGGGGGGGGGGGCGGTAGACGAACGAAATGGAATTTATATAGAAAACATACTTTTACCCGTGTCCGTTCCCCCGTTCCCGGAAAAAAGTAGTCCCCCCCCCCCCCCGCGGAAATAAAGTTTGAAAGAAACGCTGCATTCGACAAGTCAATAGAGTAGTTAAACGATGAATCGATAAGTCAACGGATCAATCATTCGATCTCTAAAAATCAATCGGGCAGCCAACGAATCAGCCTGTTAAACTATCAATCAGTGTAACGACTAATTCGTCTCCCAATTAGTCAATTTAGCAGTTAAGTGGCGAATCGATCCATCATCAAATCGATCTTTCAAATGATTAGTCAATCAACCGATCTGAAAATTACACACCAGTTACGGGAGGTATAAATTTGAATAATTATGCAGATTAGTACACGAATCAAGTAATCATAGCCTTAGAAAGTAAGTAAAACATGGAGTAAGGGATGGGGGCGGAGAGGGTGGACTGACCGAGTTGCCTGGTTATATTTATCACTAGCAGTTGTGTCTAACAACATCCTGACTAACAACGGTCTAATTAATGAAGGCCTAATTTGTGTTCTTTACTTCTCAGTCAATTAGACTTTGTTTTAGTCATTACGTCTATAATGACATTACATTCATTGAGTTTGTGTGTGGGGGAGGGGGTCTGAGTAGGGGGGAGGACTTATGGGACGATATGTGCATAATAAGGTGAGAAGGCTGGGAAGTGGCAAGGGGTGGGGGAGGGGAGAAAGAGAGGAAGCAGTGGTAGCTGACTTTTTGTGACAATGTATGGTGTTAGGGAGAGAGGGTGTCGGTATACTGGAAAAAGGTGTGTTGTTACTTATGTACCATAAATCGTGGATCATAAGGTACCATAATTATTTCTTTTGTATGGTGCTCGACGTAATAAAAGCGGACAATAAATAGACACGAAATTGTAGACCATTCAAACATCACTCAGTTTTAGACAATTTCTTCTCCAATCCCCGTTTCGGCACGTTTATTCGATTAAAGCCCCACCCCCCCCCCCCCTACCTACTCCCCCCCCCCCCCCCCCCCCCGCCCCCCCCCCCCCCCCCCCGCCCCACCACGCCAAGATCTACAGAAACCACATCTCTGTTAAAAATTAAACTTTACTTTCCTTCAGTCTTCTATTCAACGAAGGAAGTAAACTATACATGATGTAACATTTTCTCACACCCCCCCCCTTCCCTCCCCACCCCCTTTCATGTATTTTTGTACACTACATGAACAACAACAGGGGATGTCGTTACTTACATTGATGTAATGCTTACATGGATTAACATCAAAGTAACGCCCCTTGTGTCAACTGAAGTGCGTATCACATCACATAGTCATAAGTATACACAAATACACGATAAAAGCCGGTAACATATGGTGTACTTTTAATTTAACCGCAATTTAATGGATTAATTAGTTGGTTACAAATTAAACGCAATTGTGTGTCGAAATACATTTATCTCTCACAATAGGTAAATTTTAAATGTACAAGTGTCTCATAAAACGAATAGGCTACTTCAGGTCGGTGTAACCGAAATACCCCCCCCCCCCCCACACACACACCTACTTCTTCCTCCCCCAACGAAGACGTCAGCACGTGATAGATGAGCCCCGTTTCTGTCGTGGCGGCTGTGTGACGTCATCCCGTCAATTACCTGACCAACCCTGAGGCGTGTAGTGTGTTTGTGTCAGACTCTAGGCGTGTGTAACGTCCAGTGTGTGTGTGTGTGTGTCATTCATCCTAGCAACCGCTCCTCCCCCCCCCCCCCCCCCTCTCCTGCTCCAGCTTCTAACACGCCCCAACCCTCCAAAACAAAAAGTTGTTTCTTTTAAACATTTTTCTACGGGTGAGGGTGGCACTTGAAACTTTCAAGAGGGCACATTTAAATTTCAGAAGGATGGGGGTAAGGGGGGGGGGGTAAGCGGACATATATATATTTTCTCTCTGCCCCCCCCCCCCCCCCCCGCCTGAAAGAAAAACTCTGACCAAATACAAAAACCATGAAAAGCAACAATTCTATTTTTGTCCACCCGCCAGGAAAGACAACCGGAGTCGTGACCACAACAAGGATAACTCACGCCACACCTGCAGGCGCATACGCTCACTGCCCGAACAGGGACTGGGAGACTGACAGGTGGGTACTGTAACGGTCCATGTGACGTCATAAGGGGGGCGGACATGTAACGGTCCATGTGACGTCATAAGGGGGGGTCGGACAAGTAACGGTTCATGTGACGTCATAATGGGGGCCGGACAAGTAACGGGCCATGTGACGTTATAATGGGGGCCGGACAAGTAACGGGCCATGTGACGTTATAATGGGGGCCGGACAAGTAATGGGCCATGTGACGTTATAATGGGGGCCGGACAAGTAATGGGCCATGTGACGTTATAATGGGGGCCGGACAAGTAATGGGCCATGTGACGTTATAATGGGGGCCGGACAAGTAATGGGCCATGTGACGTTATAATGGGGGCCGGACAAGTAACGGGCCATGTGACGTTATAATGGGGGCCGGACAAGTAACGGGCCATGTGACGTTATAATGGGGGCCGGACAAGTAATGGGCCATGTGACGTTATAATGGGGGCCGGACAAGTAATGGGCCATGTGACGTTATAATGGGGGCCGGACAAGTAATGGGCCATGTGACGTTATAATGGGGGCCGGACAAGTAACGGGCCATGTGACGTTATAATGGGGGCCGGACAAGTAATGGGCCATGTGACGTTATAATGGGGGCCGGACAAGTAATGGGCCATGTGACGTTATAATGGGGGCCGGACAAGTAATGGGCCATGTGACGTTATAATGGGGGCCGGACAAGTAATGGGCCATGTGACGTTATAATGGGGGCCGGACAAGTAATGGGCCATGTGACGTTATAATGGGGGCCGGACAAGTAATGGGCCATGTGACGTTATAATGGGGGCCGGACAAGTAATGGGCCATGTGACGTTATAATGGGGGCCGGACAAGTAATGGGCCATGTGACGTTATAATGGGGGCCGGACAAGTAATGGGCCATGTGACGTTATAATGGGGGCCGGACAAGTAATTGGCCATGTGACGTTATAATGGGGGCCGGACAAGTAATGGGCCATGTGACGTTATAATGGGGGCCGGACAAGTAATGGGCCATGTGACGTTATAATGGGGGCCGGACAAGTAATGGGCCATGTGACGTTATAATGGGGGCCGGACAAGTAATGGGCCATGTGACGTTATAATGGGGGCCGGACAAGTAATGGGCCATGTGACGTTATAATGGGGGCCGGACAAGTAATGGGCCATGTGACGTTATAATGGGGGCCGGACAAGTAATGGGCCATGTGACGTTATAATGGGGGCCGGACAAGTAATGGGCCATGTGACGTTATAATGGGGGCCGGACAAGTAATGGGCCATGTGACGTTATAATGGGGGCCGGACAAGTAATGGGCCATGTGACGTTATAATGGGGGCCGGACAAGTAATGGGCCATGTGACGTTATAATGGGGGCCGGACAAGTAATGGGCCATGTGACGTTATAATGGGGGCCGGACAAGTAATGGGCCATGTGACGTTATAATGGGGGCCGGACAAGTAACGGGCCATGTGACGTTATAATGGGGGCCGGACAAGTAATGGGCCATGTGACGTTATAATGGGGGCCGGACAAGTAATGGGCCATGTGACGTTATAATGGGGGCCGGACAAGTAATGGGCCATGTGACGTTATAATGGGGGCCGGACAAGTAACGGGCCATGTGACGTTATAATGTGAAGACTTACGGTACTTATGACACAACAATGGGACACGAACGGATAAAGGTACTCGTGACGGCATAGGGTGAACCGAACAGGTAACGGTCCACGTGACGTCATTATGAGAGCTGAACAGGTACTAACTTTATATATGTGACCTTTAACCCCCCACAGAGATATACCTGACACGGAGCGAGACTGTGCTGACGTCGCCCTTCAACTGATCACACAGAACCAGGACATTCAGGTAAATAATTGTGTTTTACCCCTCAATGTTAAACAAACAATGCCACACCCATCATTGACGTCGTTGAAATAATACATCAGTGGGGCCGGTGAAACCGAGGATGATTATTCTTTATATACAGCTATATGGCCTAGCGTTAGAGCAGTTAACTGATAACCCGAAAGTCTCGAGTTCGAATCCGGGTTCAAGTAAGTAGAACGTCCCTGAGTCCATCCAACTCTTTTGGGTATCTAAATCACGTTAGGTTAAGTAAAGGTGGTTGGGTATAGTGCTGACAACATTATCCCTGCATTGCCGAGGTCAAGAAACAATTGAACTCTACTTCATCTGCCCAAAGGATCACTGTGTAACCCCTATTGTTGGCGTAGTTGAAATAAAGCATCAACACGGTCGGTAAAGCCGATGAATATTCTTTATAGCTAACAGCTAAATCCATTTTATGCTCCCTTTGCTTGTGTAATGTAAATGCAATATGAATTTACCGCCCATTGGCGGACATCCCTCCTCACCACCCTAGTTACGCCAGAGGCGTAGCGACCGATTCCGGCGTCCGGGGCGGAATATACATTTTTGCTCCCTTCCCTCCCATTCTATTTATAGTTATTCATGTCTTTGAAAAAGTGCCACCCCCCCCCTTTTTTTTTAAAAAGCCACCCCCAAAGTAAATAAATAAATTGGAAAGGTTTGTGGGGCTTCTTACCAGTTACTATCCAACTAGATTTCTATTTCGGTGCCACAAAATTAATTAAATTAAACAGTTAAATCAACGTGAAAAGCCTTGAAGTCGTTTATTTTGGTAACTGTGACTATAAAATTTAATACTTCCGTAAAAATTAGCTTTTCAATTAATTTTTCTACCCCTTTTGGCGCCCCCTTAGGGTCGGCGCCCGGGGAGGGCGCCCCACCCGCCCTCCATTAGCTACGCCACTGAGTTACGCCAATTTGCATATCTGACAAAAGTGACATAAAATAAAAATGTCGACTCTTCATGCAGGTGTTAATGGGAGGTGGAAGGGCTAACTTTTACCCTGAAGGTCATCCGGACCCTGACCCTGACCCTAAATTCAACACATCTGAAGTGTCAAGGCTGGACGGAAGAAATTTGGTGGAGGTGAGATTAAAACTGTTTACACAGAGTCGGGTTCAAATTCTCCTGACTACAAGGTAGAAAAATTACTTTAAATTTCACAAGATTAAGTAAAATTCGTCAGGAATATCTTTTTGGAATGTATATAGAAAATATATACTTTAAACAGTGTCCGCCCACCCGGAGAAAAAGTCAGGAAGAAACACTGCTTTTTATGTTACGCCAACTCATTTGCTAATTAAGGCCGAAGGACGACACCGCCCTATTCATTGTAAAGACTGCAATCACTTTTATGTTTGCTTAGCTGCAGCCACTTTTTAAAATGTGTATTAGGGATTGTCCATAAATGTCCTTGCGTTTTTAAAGATCACGATTACCACCTTCCCCCTCCCACCTACCCCCCCCCCCTACACACAATGCTAAAATAGTCAACTCTCTTTACTAATTAGGCCTTCGTGAAGCTGAATTAATTCTAGATCTAGTTTGTGATTATTTATTTTTTCGATTGGTTTCAGGAATGGATTCATGACAAACAGGCTAAAAAATTGCGTCACAAATTTGTCTATAACAAACGTGGATTGGACAATGTGGATGTTGGAGAAACGGATTTTTTACTAGGTGAAAAATGGTTGATTGTGTGGTGGGTCATTTGCATAGTAGGTCTTTTGAATTGTGTGTATATAATTGGGTCTTTTTGTATAGTAGATATTTTGAATCGTGCGTATATAATCAGGTCTTTTATAGTAGGTCTTTTGAATCATGCGTATATAATCAGGTCTTTTGTAGTTTGTCTTTTGAATCGTGCGTATATTATAATCGTAGGCCTTCTGTCAAATATTTTTTTTGTTATGGGAATTTCATGTCTTGTAGGTCCTTTGTAAATGTCATCGTGACTCTTTGGTAAGTTTTCTATATCAGGTGTTTTGTATCGTAGGTCTTAGAGTCGTGAGTATATTATATTTCTAAGCCTTTTAGTCAAACTTTTTTTTTTGCATTAGAAATCGGGTGCATCGTATGTCTTTTCTAATTTGTGCTCTTTCGTATGTGTTCATTTTTCTATCGTAGGTCTCATGAACTTAGGTCTTGTTAAATAATGTCCTTATTCATAACGTATCTACAGGTCTCTTCAAGCAAGGTCACATGTCTTATGACGCAGCCCGGGACCAATCAAAAGAACCGTCTTTACGTCAGATGGTGGAGAAAGCGATAGGGATACTACGAAAGAATAAGCAAGGATTTTTCCTATTGGTTGAGGGTACGCTTCCACGGTTGATGCTGGTTTTTAATCATGACAAACAATGTAAACAAATAGTTGAGGAAACTATGATACTTCTATGAAGAGGCGTAACAAGGGGGTGCGGGGGTGAGGACCGCACCGGGTGACACCATTTAGGGGGGGGGGGATGACACCAAGGCAAAAATAGCAAAATATATAGAGAAAAACTTGAGGGGGGGGGGGGTGCAAATCGAAAGTTTGAGGGAGGAGGGGATGTAAATCGAAAGTTTGAGGGGGGGGTGCAAATCGAAAATTTGAAAGTTTGTCCCCGGGAAGGGTCGCTACGCCTCTGGCGGTGACACCATTAAGTGCCGCACCGGGTGACACCCGACCTCGCTACGCCACTGCTCCTATGGTTCCTGAAATATCGACGAGTTAAATTACAATTAAGTTAAAAAAGAGTCTACTTTTACCAGTGTCCGCCGCCCTTTCCCCCTCCGGGGAAAAAAGTCTGGAAGAAAAACTGATCCCCATGTTTTAAGACGATTAAAATTAGTGTGGCATTATCAAAAGCTGTATTTTTGTATTGATTTAAAAAATAATATGCGATAATATGTAGGCCTACATCGACGTGACCCCTTTAATTAATCCATTTTAATTAATGTTGGTACAATATGTTAGAGAGTACGAGTTATAGGCCTTTGACAACCCAAGGTTAAATAGATCTTTATATGAGTTGTTTATCTCAGGCGGGCGAATAGACTCCGCCCACCATGACTCACTGCCACACAAGGCGCTGCATGACGTCATAGCGATGGCGGAAGCCGTGGGCGTGGCCACACAGATGACTGACCCGGCCGAGACGCTGATCGTGGTCACGGCTGACCACTCACACGTCATGAGCATAGCGGGCTACGCATCACGAGGGAATCCAATTTTAGGTAGGTCATGCAGCAGACTAGGTCATTTGTATGGTAGGGTCATTTGGTTGATAAGGTCATTTGGTTATCAAGGTCATTTTGTTAGTAAGATAATGTAGCTAATAAGGTCATTTGGTTGGTAAGGTCTTTGGTAGGGTCATTTGGTTGTCAAGGTCATTTGGTTAGTAAGATAATTTAGCTAATAAGGTCCTTTTTTTGTAAGGTCATTTGACTAATAAGTTCATTTGGCTGGTAAGGTCATTTGGTTGGTAAGATCATTTGGCTAATAAGGTCATATGGTTGGTAAGGTCATTTCGTTGGTAAGGTTATTTGGCTGATAAGGTCATTTGGATGAAAAGGTCAATTGGTTGGTAGTCTTTTTTTTTGTCGTAGAGTTGTGTTACTGGCAAGGTCATATGAATGATAAGGGTCATTTTGCTGGTAAGATTATTCTGAGGGTATGGTCATTTTACAGGTAAGGTCACATATCTAGTAGCGCATTTTACAGGTAAGGTCATTTGGCAGATGCGTTGTGTACTGGTACATTCATTTGTCAATAATGTCATTCAAGGTAAGGTCGTTTTGCATATAAGCTAGTGGGAGTTTTAGGATCATACTGCGGGTAGGTAATGTCATTTAACATGTCATTTAGCAGCTAAGGTCACTCAGCTTGAGAAAGAAAGTCGGTTTTCAGAATGGAATAGGACCTATGTTGTTTTTAAATTGATGGTGTAGATAAATTAAAGATGCAAAAGATGCTTATGTTTTCTGATACTGCATTAGGGTGTGGTGTGTAGGTATCATGTTACTTTCTGATACTTCAGTTAGGGTTAGGTGTATCCTTAGGATTTGGATATTGGTAAAACCACAAAGAACGCAATTGCTGGCTTAAGGGGAGAGAAAAACTAGCCACACACATAAAACAAAACTTTAATAGATTAGAAAGAGAAAAAAAAATCAAGGCGTAAATAAATTTTTAAATACTTATCATTATCAGAAATTAAAAAAAAAATCTTTAGGCCTTCATAAAATTACTTTTTATATTTTTTGTTAGTGTTTAACTATTAAGGCTAATCAGTGCATTCAAAAGTGATTTAAGACAAAAGTAATTAAGTCTCTCTTGTTATTTAGTCCTGTAAGTTATACTTAAATGTTTGCTGTTATAAATGTGTGATGGCATCAGTGATTTAAGTGTCAAATATTTAGTCCTGTACAGTACACTTGCAAGTGTGCTATTTTAAATGTGTGCAGGTATCAGTGATTTAAATGCAAAAATATTTATTTAGACTTAAATGTGTGCTGATATGTGTGCAGGTATCAGTGATCTAGACGGCGTGTACAACACTGAGAGAACTGACGACGGCCTGCCTTTCACGACCCTACTCTATGCTAATGGACCAGGATATGTGGCACCACGGCCTAACATTACAGACGTCAACACAGGTAATACACACGTCAATAGAGGTAATACACACGTCATTAGAGGTAATACACGTGCCACAGGTAATACACACATAGTTAATGCACACGTTAACACAGGTAATACACAAGTCAACACAGGTAAAACACACGTCAACACAGGTAATACAAACGTCAATAGAGGTAATACACACGTCAATAGAGGTAATACACACGTAACACAGGTAATACACAGTACACAGGTCAACAGTAGTCAACATAGGTAATACACAGGTCAACACAGGTAATACACACGTCAACACAGGTAATACACACGTCAACACAGGTAATACACACGTATACACAGGTAATACAAACATAGTTAATGCACACGTTAGCACAGGTAATACACACGTCAACATAGGTAAGAAACACGTCAATACAGGTAATACACACGTATACACAGGTAATACACACATAGTTAATGCACACGTTAGCACAGGTAATACACACGTCAACACAGGTAATACACACGTCAATATAGGTAATACACATGTCAAAACATGTAATGCACTCGTCAACACAGGTAATACACACGTCAACACATATATGCACTCGTCAACATATGTAATTCACACGTCAATAGAGGTAATATACACTTTTACACAGGTAATACACACGTCAACACAGGTAATACACATGCCAACACAGGTAATGCATATATAATTACTGGTAAAGCATACATAAGCACAGGCTTGATATACACACGTAAAGACAGTTAATACACATTTAAACACAGGTAAGATACACAAACATATTCACAGGTGAGGTCTACGCATACAAATACAGAAATGATCTACACACATAAACAAAGTACGCGGTACAGCCGTGTATTATACCGATAACTAAATTCAATATTAAAATTTGGAAAACTTGCACCCACAAACACTTAATGAACACGGAACAAATTAACTACTTTTTTAACAGTTTTATTTTAAAACTATATTTTTTAAAAATCTTTTAGACATGTAATTAAATTGCAATAATGTTTCTAAATAGTCAAGTAGACAGAGAATGATTCTAGATTTATCGTCTCTATTTTTAGAAGATATATCGTACGTGTCCCAATCTGCCGTGCCGATGGAGTCGGAGACTCACGGAGGGGAGGATGTGGCTATCTATGCCTCAGGTATGTCTGGGGTTAGCTTCATACAGGTGGTATATAGGTGAGATCGTTAGATAGGAGCAAACTGCAGGGGTAAGGTGTGGCGGTGGGTGTGGTTATGTGGGCCAAAGAGTTATCTAATATCAAGTTTATATCGGTGGTATATCGGCGATGTCGTTAAATTGGAGCGAATTAGAGTGGTGCCGTGCAGAGTTTCTTCCAGGCATCTCTTCGGGGGGTGAGGGGGGGGGGGGGGTCGTCCGTCGTTCCCCCCCCCCCCCCCCCCCGAAGAATGTCTACCGCCCCCTCCCCCCCTCCGAACGAAATGGAATTTATATAGAAAATATATAATTTTAACAGTGTCTCCGGAAATTTTAGCCCCCGTATCCCCCCGTCCCCGTCCCCCCCCCCCCCGAAAATTCAAATCCCCCCCGGAGAAAAGTCTGAAAGAAACACTGGTGCCGTGTGGGTAAGGGGGCGGGTGTGGTCATGTATGACACATAGTTGTTTTATATCAAAAATATAGGTGGTTTATCCGTGATAGAATGAAACTATTTTTGAGTGGCCGCCGGTCACGTGATCGGGATGTTTGCCGTCTGCTTCCCTGCAACACGGTTAATACTTAAGACATACAGTGAATGAATCGGTTCTGGGTTTTTTTTTTTGTTTTGTTTTTTTTTTGGGGGGGTGGGATGGGGAGGGGGAACAAACGAATGTACTTTACATAAGTTCCCCCTATTGATAATTTTCCTAATCTAGGCATAGCCTGTGGGGTGCTGGTGTGGGTTACAGGGGGCGGGGTGGGTGTAGTATGTACTCATCTACTACGACACTGGTGTGTCTGATGTTAATGTTAGCTCAGCAATTTATATTTGGCATCATTAGAATACCGAACTAAGTACGAGCAAGTGTGGCGATAAACACAACTCGTTTGAATGATAATGACTTTGTCAATTTAGTTTGTTTGTGGAGTTTATACAGTACTAGCCGTCCCGGCCAGGCCCTGCTCTGGCTTCTGTGAAAAACCCTTCTGTTAAAGACCATCACCTGTGTGTTTAGTAATCATCATAAACCCGGCATTGCCCACCCAAACCACAACCAACCAAAACCAAAACAACAAAACGCAAACATAACGCTAACACAATTACAAATACAAACGAAAACAAAAACTTACAACAAACCAACCACAACCACAAACACCAATACGAACACAAAGAAAAAAGCAAACGAAAACAAACCAAATCCAAACACAAAACCAACCACAAACACAAACCCAAAGAAAAAATCAAACGAAAAAGCAAACGAAAACAAACCAAATACAAACGCAAAACCAACCACAAACCCAAAGAAAAAAAACACAAAAGAAAAAACAAACGAAAACAAACCAAATCCAAACGCAAAACCAACCTCAAACACAAATACAAACACAAACCCAATGAAAATAAAACACAAACGAAAACGAAAAAAGAAAGAACAAAAACGAACCAAATCAAAACGCAACCACTAACGCAAACCCAACCTAAACACAAAGAAAACACTAACGCGAATATAAACGCAAAGTGCTCACGGGGCTGAATCGCCTACTTCAACTTAATAAACGACTATAGTACCCCAACTTATTCATAGTCTTTTGCACTCACTTTAATGAACGTAGGCGCGAAACCGAACACGGGAGGCCCGGGACCCCAAAAAGCACCCTGTCTGGGCGCCAGAGGACGCACCATGACGTCACCGCCTGATTGAACTTAGTAAACGCCTATAGTGCATAACTTATTTATAGTCTTTTGAACTCACGCGAACGTAGATACCATAGCGTACACCGGAAGGCCCGGGGCGCCAAATAGCACCCTGTCGGGGTGCCGGAGGACGCCCGGATTTGATTCACTTAAAGACTATAGTAACCTTTCTTATCCAAAGTCTATCGCACTGTTTAAAACAAAATTATGCAGCATAGCGCTCACATGATAGCCCAGGGTGCCAAATCAAACCGTGCAGGGGCGCCGGCGGACGCGCCTGTTTCAATTTAGTGAACAAAAATGATAATACTCCAAGCTTATCCGTAAATGGAAAGAAATAAACGTATATGATTTGTAGGACCTGGCTTATTAAATGTTATTGATTTTAAAAAAAAATAATAATTATTGAACAGTATGTTCAGTGTATAGAATAAATAAAAGGCAGTGTTAAAAATACCTAACGACATTGCACTTAATCAATCCCCGCTAATTGTGTAATTATTTTTTTTTTTCTTAACACCAAAAACAAAGTAATAAAAAATTCTCTCTTCTTAAGGATTTATGTTTCATTAAAGGGAAGTAACTTTGCAGTCAATACATTTCCGACACAATTTTAGAAATTTTATAAACGTCGATACACTTTTTAAAAATTTTATGTCGTGTTCATAATTGAAAATTATTCTTCTAAGTAAATAGAATGAAAATTGTTTTTAAAGACTTTCAATGGTAATTTTTCGACTCGTACATTTAGACTTTGAGCACGATAAAAAATCTAACACTTAAATCCGTAGAAGTGTCAACGACAAACTTTTTTGTTTTTTGCCACACGTTACAGAACTGAGCTTTATATATTAGATTGATAAGAAAGAAAGGATATAATATGAAGGGGTGTACAAATATAGCACCGTCTACAGAAGGGTTTCTTTAATTTTTCTCCTTAGTCGGGGTGGGGGTACTGGTTAGAGAATCATATATATATATATATATATATATATATATATATATATATATATATATATATATATATATATATATATATATATATATATATATATATATTCCAATTAAATTATATATGCTGTAATTCGGCAGGGTGAAAGGGTTGGATATATAAACGTATCCACCTCCTCCGCCCCTCACTACCCCCCCCCCTCCCCCAGTCGAAGTAGAAATAATTACATAATACCACCACGATTTTTTTTTGTTTTGTTTGGCCAACATTACATTTTTTCTCCCCCTTTTTTTCTGACCAGGGCCTCACGCTTTTTTGTTTACTGGAGTTCATGAACAGAGTTACCTTCCCATAGCAATGGCGTACGCCGCTTGTATCGGCCCGTATGATGTCAACAGCGGAAAGCAATGTGCGCTGGGCACTTCTAGCCCACAAGTAAGTCGAGCTTCAGTGGCGTAGCCAGGATCGTCTCAATGGGGGGGGGGGTTCTAATTTTTACCCGGAGACAAACTTTCGATTTGCACACCCCCCCCCCCCCTCAGACTTTTGATTTGCACCCCTTCCCCCCCCCCCCTTTAAACTTTCGATTTGCACCCCCCTCATACTTTATATATATACCGAGGGGTCTATAGGGGGGGGGGTTATGACCCCCCCCTAACCCACCCTGCCTACGCCACTGTCGAGCTTAGAAAACCTGGCATACCCTCGGTCATTGATGTTTCTTTTATTGGTGGGAGGAGGGGGGGGGGGAGAGAGAAAGAGAGGATAGGCCTTAAATTTTAAAAAAAAATTCATTCCGTTTTTGATAACTTATAATTATGGTTTTAACTAAAAATCAATAAAATCAGCACTTCCGTTAACACCCCTGCCTACGCAACTGCTCTAGGTAGAAGATTAACATTATAGAGTACGAGCTGACCCGCGACATAGTATGCGCCGCCATCTAGTTGTATTATTTTCTGCTTATCAGCAATTCATAATTTGTGAATTCAACACTACCCCATCCCACCCCCCCCCCCCCTCCCGCCCATTGAAAGCAGCCGTTTACGAAGAAAAGATCAATCATAAATTGTTACCTCCACTTCGTTTCATATCGTTTAATGCTAAATTATCTGCCCCTAATAGCCGTCACTAACCCGGCTCTACGATTGTAAACATTTGGGGCGAACCACAGCTCACCTGACAGGTGGGGATGAGGGTGGTGGCTAAGCTGCGTGGTGTTTTCTATGGTCTCCATGTAGAGAATTATATATATATATATAGATAGAAATCTTAAGGTTTGTATCTACTTAGGTTTTTCTTATGGTTGAGGAGAAGTGGGGGGGGGGGAGAAAAGTGTAATAACAGTGGTAGATGTGGCTTACCTGATCTCCCGAGTTCAATCTTTGAACTTCAGTGGGCATGGTGTCTTCGAATCCCTCCTCCCCTGAGAAGTACATAAATAAATATGATGAGTATTATATAATTTTATTTTAGTCAATTTATTAATAAATACACATCTTATAAAGATCACGACAACGATATCATTGATGTTTGATATAATCAAATAGCAACTTTTTCACATTTTTCATCCAACTTTTCTTCCTCAGCTTACGGTCAAATCTATTTCCACTATTTTGCGCATTTCTGGTAGAAACCTTTGGTGTACACAATTAAATTGTTACTGTAACACGCATGAAACAATAGTTAAGCTACAAGGCAATCAGTAACACCATTTATCTGCCAGTGTAGGCTGAATATTTCTTGATCTATTCGACCCCATTATATCGTGTCGTGAGCGAGTGACCAACAGTCCACACACGGTTCACTGGCGCTGACCACACAAATAGTTTATAATACACAGAAATGTTAAACTAAACTTCAAAGACTCTTTACAAAAAAAAAACATTTACATTAGTTTTGATGATCTATGTATTTAATTTTTGTGTGTGTTTAAAATGACGTTTAAAACTGGTATATTTTCAGAGAAATCAGAGTCCGCTAAACAGATCCACTCTTCAAATGCTTACGTTGTTTGTAGGTCTACACTGTATATATTATTCAATAAACTTGTTTGTATGATATATTATTTTCGTTCATTTTGTGTTGCTTTATAAAAAAACACAACCAAGGACAGTAACTTAGTTTATTACATTTCTAGAGATATATTTAAGAGTCGTTTCCCTTCCTGTTACGATGAAGAGAACTTTGACCTCTGGTAATGTTTTCATAAATAAGTCAAGGCCTGTCTGTGTCTAATGTTCTAAAAATAGTCACACTTAACAATATACGTTTCATTATGACAAACGGCCTAATAATAAATAACATGTGTAACTATATGAAATGTAGATTGGATTTTTTTTTATAATCTAATTTTCTAAAACTTATTGTGTCTTATATTTCGGCCTAGATCTAGATTCTACATCTAATTAATATTAAACTTATCTTGATGAGATAAAGTACGTTATTTTTTTTTTAAATTATTTATTACCAACCATCACGTGTTTAAATTTCAACACTAAAATTATTACGACGCATGTGAAATGTCCAAATAGTATGTTCTAGTTTGATGAACTTTTTTTTTTTGAAACATTGAGTTATTGGTGTAGCTATTATAATTAGACTGTATAGATTTCTTTTCGTTAATGGCTAGGAAAACCGTTTGCCGTCACTTGTTAATTAATTGTACACTGCCTCCATTAGCGGATCTATCACATCAGAGTTTGGTGGTGATGTTGTCCATATAGCCTACACAGGCCCGCTATCTATAGTGGACTTTAATAAAGATGTATATTTGGAAGGTGTGACAAAGCCTACATTTTCCACCCCTGATTCGATTTAGGTAGCATACCTTTACACTAAGTTAATAAGAAACATGAAATATCACTATATAAATGTAACAAAGTAATGCATCTCTACCCGCCCCCCTCTTTTTTTTAAAGCCGGGGGAAGGTTGGGGTGTATGAGCTCCACCTTTGACAGCATCCAATTAATTGCAAGAACGTGTAGTAAGGCACTCACCGTATTAAGGTATACACGTCCACTGTTGTAGGTAGTTAGTTCGCTGTTGTGTTTTTTTTTTTTTTTTGTTTTTTTTTTTTCAAATTGAGGATTTGAAACTGAAAGCAGCAGCCTATGTTTTCACTCAAATATAGATATGTCTAGATCTGAAGTTAAGGTAATTTTCCAATTATTTGACTCAAATAACCAGTTACTATACGCCTGACTTATATAGCCCTCGTATTCCCGTCTCATATCTGCTTAAACTATTTGTTATTGGAAAACCAGCCTCGTGAATTGTGCTCTTTAAAAAACTCCACGCTGGTCTGGTGTACGCTTTGTCACGTGGTTTCTAAAAATAACGCACAGTACAGCGGTAAGCTTATCACTAGAGGTAGATAACGTAAGTGTTGTTTTGCTTTCATGTTAAAGACTGGTTTAGGCCTACTAGTTTATCGCGTTCACGTTTCGATAGAGGTGCGTAGTTTAAAAAATAACTAGTCCCGTCTAGATTTAATTTTAACTTGTGTATGAAACGTGTGGGACCGTAAACATTTAATGGAAAAAAATATTCCGTTAGCTGTTAGTAAATAGTAGTGTTAGTTCACTACAGATATTAGACTATGTTTAATGTATTAACATCGAATCTTGTCCAGATAGGCTCCGCCAAAAAGTTAATCCCCGCCGAAACTTGTATTTTTATACTTTAACTCTAACTCTACTAACCCTAGAAACGGATAAGTTGTTTTTATCGCGTGCGTTTAAATATGTAAATGTCTTGACATTAGAAACATGTCAAGGTTGCGTGCGTAATTAAAAAGGAGCTCGCTAAAAGAGGGGATGTGGGGGGCTCAACTCCCCCCCCCCCCCCGTGTATTCTTTTACATTAGTGGCGGGGCTTTCATCTGGACAAGATCCAACTATTTTTTAGCAAGAATTGATGCCAAAACACACAAAAATGGATTTACAGTTTACTGCGTTTTTACTTCGTCCACATTACTTATTAGTATATTAGCCGCAAATTCATGGCCTTTCTAAGTCAGTAGCACCGTCAACGACATGTACTGTAGTTAAACCAAAGTTATTATAATAACAAACGTTTTACAAATGCATTGATAACTAAATTAGAACAGTCTAATTATTTGTAATGAGTAGTAGGCTATTATTAGTATTACCAATAGTGTATGACACTACAGGCAAGTTACCTTGCAATTTATTACACAAGTCATATATATAAACTGTAGAGCACCCTTCTTAGTTTTGATATTTCACAATGCAACTAGACTGATTTGAGCCAGTGATTGCATGTGTTTCTAAGAAACTCAAATCCTTTTACTGTGTACCACTTTAAAATTGGGCTATTTATCTTGTATGAGTTATTAGTAGCAACTGCTACTGGTTTACTTAAGTTACTAGTACCAGTAAAAAGAAATGAATTTATGTTACTATTCAATTTAGTTTTACTTAAAACTGTAAAGCAATTGTAGTAAGCCAGCAATCGTGACTAAGCACATTATCCTAACATTTTCATTACCCAAACCACCTCCAGTTGTATTTTTAAAAAGCCTATTCTTATTCACAGTGAACCTAAACCTGCTCACCCTCATACAAAATTAAACATTTTTGTGCTGAAATCAAGCACATTATGTGTAGGTAGCATATCTAGAACTAGAAGCTCAAAACAATCGGTCCAGTGGTTGACATGGTAATTAACTAAAATGTTGCATTGCCAGGTCAATCTGACCCACCTTGTAGGCTTAGGGTCAATAAGAAAATATACATGCACTCTGATTCTGTAAATATTATATTTACATTTTATAGTATTTTATGGTGTCATGGTGTGCTAAGCAATGACCAGGTACTACAATCATGTTTTATTGGCTACACCCAACCTGTAGGCAATCAACAATGAAAATATATTAATCAGCTGCAGACATAGGCATATTCACAGGATAAATCTAAACAAAACTAAATAGACAACAACTCCAAGAAATAATTACAGACAGAACACCAAAAACAAACTGAAAACTTTAAATTGAGAAAAGTGACAACTAAGAGAACAGTAAAATATAGAAAGTTTGCAATGATGACATTTTATTTTTCAGTTAAGTTTTTCATGATAAACGTATTTAAAAGCTATATAAAAACAGGGTAATAAATGTAACAAAATTAGTTTCATTTATTCATACAAGCTAAAAATTACTAGTAATTGTCATAAATATGAGTATAGAAAAAATATTTGAATTACACACCCAGCATAGCACATGAGAATGTCACATGTGTAACACCATTTTCAGTGTTAAATTTTTTAATGACAACTGAATAACCCCTAAAATCTATTTTTAGCCCAATTCTTAATTTTTAAAATTTCTGAAAATGTTGCTACCAAGTTAACTTTGGTGAGAATACTAAAAGCATATCACCTGATCAACCACACAGCAGTCTTTACAATTTTACAGGCGCTTTAGAGAATGAGGGAGACTTTAATAGCCAAGACTATGCCAATAATGTATCACAAGCTGTGAAAACAGCACAATGTCAAAACAGCTTGATAAACATTTTAGGACAAGACAATGCTGTTAATAACTTTTTAAAAATGATATGCACTGTTAGGATTAACTCAGCACACATTTTACAATGAAGTTAATTACTAAGACTAGACCAAATACCCCACCCCAACCATGTTTCTAAAAATAATAAACTAATAATTGTAACAATGTACCTCACACAAATATGCTCAGAAACTAGCTAGAATATCTACTCTATAAATTGAATAATTAAATTTAAAAACCTGCAATGATATCAGATTGTATTAGTAGACATCAAATCAAAATATGGTTTCAATTGAGGTTTAATTAGTGGTAATTAAATAATAGGCTACTTTACATGCTTCTTAAATTAAAATGCTTATTTCCAAAGTTTTGGTTAAAAGAATATGTTGTAAAAAATTATCCAAAATGTTACAAATGTACACACATTTGCTACTACTTTAAAAAACCTAAATAGTTTGCATTTGTAACAAGCTCCAGGGTAGATCAGTTATAGATATTACTGGTAAAATAAAACAAGCATTTTTGATTTGCAAAAAAAAAAAACGCAGAGTAAAACTTTGAAATTAAAAATAAAATTCAATTAGCATTCACAAGTTAAAACGGTAACTAAATATGTCCAACATTACAAAAGAAAACTGGGCAGATTTTCCAATAGAAAGGAATGAATTTAATAATTTGACAAGTTGTACAAACAAAAATTTATAAGTAGTAGAGTAACAGTATAGATAACACTAGCACTAGAATGAACAAACTTTAATCATATTCTAGAAAGATATATTTAGCAAACATTGGAAAAGTTACATATTTTAACATGTAGTAGGGTAACTAATAGAAAGTTGTTTATGCTGTGTTTTTTGTTTTTAATTCTGAATGGTAAAAAGAAAATAGTAAAATTTAGTTTGTGACATCTGTGCTTCAGATAATGAAAAAGGCAGATCAAATCACTTAGTTGATTGTTACCAGTGTATAGCACTGACCCAAGTGTAAATCAGCCCAAAGATTACAAATTGCATCACAGCAAAGACAGTCAATAAAGAACTTGTCATTTAATAAAAACTGCATGCTCTAGTCCCCTCAGTTAATCCCTTTCATAAGCTTTATTGTTCAATTTCTCAGATCTGATTTAATCATCCCCATTTTCAGCCTGATTATCAGATGTCCACAGGGTAAGATTGTCACGAAGAAGTTGCATGATCAGCGTACTGTCTTTACAATCATTTTCATGTAATTTCTCTAAGTCGCTGATGGCTTCATCAAAGGCTTCTTTTGCCAAATTACATGCCTTATCAGGTGAATTCAGGATCTCATAGTAGAAAACTGAATAATTGAGGGCAAGACCTAGGCGATTTGGGTGAGTTGATGGCATGTTTTTCTTAGCATGCTCCATTGCCTTAGAATAGGCTAATTCAGCTTTAGTGATGGCAGTTGTTCGCTCAGGACCCGACTCAGATTTGTACTCAGCGATGTAACGATAGTAATCACCTTCCATTTTGAGATAGAACACCTTCTCTTCATCTGAACATTCTTCGGTGATCAGGTGCTTTCCCAACAGACCAAGCACCTCGTTGCACGTAGAATCCAGTTCAGATTCAACTTTTACTCTGAACTCTTGAGCAATCGCTTTTCTTTTCTCGTTTTCAGCTTTCTGCTCAATCATACAGATTACTCGCCAGGACGAGCGTCGAGCACCAACAACATTCTTGTAGGCAACTGACAAAAGGTTACGTTTTTCTTGTGTTAATTTACCCTCCAGTTCAGTGACCTTCCGCATAGCTCTAGCCATGTCGTCGTACCTTTCAGCCTGCTCTGCGAGCTTGGCGAAGGTAACCAGCTGCTCCACATCTTTCAAACCATCGATGAATTTAAAAGCACTGGCGGTACTGCTCGTCATCGTGATAACGTGAACTGCAGTTGAACAAATGCACTTTCACAGTCACAACTCAAAATAATATTGTTTATAATTGGGAATAGTGCAGAAACGGATGCGGCTTAGAAAAAATGGCGGCCAATGAGTCTGAACCGGTTTAGAGAGGCGCTACATTACATCCGAAATGACTCACGAGAATTATCTACCTTAGTAATAACAGTTTTGCAGCCTGTAAATGATAGATAATTTAGTAATAATCTTGCATAAAAATATATTTTAGATAAGCAGATTTAACTGCAGTGAATAGAAAATATAACTAAAAATCGGATAACAATATTACCCATTTTGAAAAAAACACACCCACTTGAATTAGTGAATTAAAAATAAGTTAAAGCGTTATGTCCCTTGGATTTTATTCTCACAGCGCCGCTTGATTTTCCAATTTTTATCTGACTCATATCCGGTGATTATATGCCACATTTGTCTTCTGTGCTAAAAACAAAATTAAATTAATGTTCTCGTTAGTCAAAGATAATTTAAATATCGAATTGCAGATTTCTATTCCAGTTTTGTATATGATTTCTACTTATTGTGACCAAATAGTATATAAACGCTTTCCCTTATTATTACACTCAGTTTTATGTTAGCATTCTATATGATATTAAAATGAGGAAAATTATGACCAGGTAACATTAAAATTCTAAACTTTACACTGGGAGAGCTCATTTGTTTAGAAACATTGTCGAAATGGCAAATCTCGTGAATTGAAGAAACTGAAACCAGTTGCACATTTTATAGCGTACATACTGAACAACAGAACTAACAAGTAATGCTGATTGAAACATCAATAGAATTAGGCTAAATAAAATGCGATATAGACTCTAGATCTAGCTTATTAGACTTCGCATTCGCTAATTTTGAGACAAAAAGATTTTAAAATCAAAATAAATGATTTTCCAAGGCAAATTTTGTAGATTTTCTCACTAAATTTTCTAAAAGTTTGGCATGCTCAATACATCATACTCAATTTTCAATTTAAACATGACCACTGAATAATAAACATCAATATTTAATCCACTAGGCACTAATTTTTATGTTTTTAGTTCGTTTTAAACTAAATTAGGCCCTACTTAATTTAATATTTGTCACTCACTGCCATTATGCTGTGCACAACAGACCTCTTCATGACAACACAACTAACATCTGCAGCTACAGCAAACTACGAATCACTAGTGATGAGTCAAATAGCTGTCACGTGGTTTTTAAAAAATAAAAAAAAATTGGTTGTGATACGTACGCCGGTCTTATAATTAAAACAGCTCATAATATTAGGTTGAATTATGGATTTTTTAAAATAAAATATTCTGTTATTTCAAATACACCATTAAGTTCCTTACCCCTTAAGAGAACATTTGACACCACATTTAAATATCTAGCTTAATCGGTTGACGAGAAAAGAGAGAATTTAAATTTTTTCCGAGAATGGAAAATGAAAGTCAGAACATCGTTTTTGCTCCTCGACCGGCATAACATGACGTCGTGGACTTGTGTGCACGAGCTTTTAATTCCCGCCATGGTAATTGCGTCAGCTTAGGTTATTTAATCACCGGAAAATAACAAAAAGCAACTGGTTGATAATAAAACTAGATCTAGTTATTTTATTATTTATTAAATTCTACTCTACATGTTATTCATACCATTTTATGAAGTAATGAACACCTGCATAAATCAAATGACCATAATAAATATTTTTATTTCAAATTCTAATTTTAAATAATAAATATGCATAAAATAATATGATAGTAAGAGTTAAGATAGTTTATAAATACAAATACATTTTACACTCAATCACATTATATTGAGTCAACAGTGTGGCAGCTGAGGTTCATACATGGTATTAGTGTCTTTTTTTTTTTTACATTACATTTTTTTTTCATCTTGAAAACATGACGTATGTGATTTTTTTTTTAAATAAAATCTCCAAACATCGTCACTCGCGTGATTGCTTGCTTATGTTTACTATCCTGTGGATGAAAAATCCCACCACGGTCGCGGGGTCACCGTGACTTCAGCAGGCCTATAGTACACGTCATAGAATGAACACGCGCAGACGAGATGGTCGGTGTCTTCACTTCTCTCTCTCTTCCCCCCCCCCCCCCCCCCCCCCCCTTCTTCAAGCTAATTAAAAAACAGACCTATTTCCCTTCTGGTCATTTTTTTTTTTAAAGCTCGGTCGTTTTTTTTAAAGTTCGCATATCAGCCAGCTGTATAATAAAAATATTTTTTTAACTAGATCTACGTCTAGCTTAAAAAAATAAATAAATAAACGCTTAAAATGCCCGTAAACAGATTATTTAGCGCCAAAAAAAAAAAAAAAAAAGGCCGCTGAACGAGCATTTTTTAAAATACGCAGCAATGAAAAAGGCTAACGGCCAATCAATTAAGTCTAAAAATCGCCCGTAATTAGGCCTAGCGCTGAAAAAGGCCACTGAACGAGCATCACTGATTATATAAACGAATAGGCCACGCGGCGTTGACGAGGTTAACCACCGGTCACGAATGCAGCAACGGTCGGCCCACAGTGAAGAAAAAATCAATGTACTAATAAAATTACTAATACAATAATCATGTCCATAATTTTACTTTTTCCGCACATGCTACAATTGAATAATATTTAATAATAATTAAAATACTAGACTTAACAGTTCATTCCGTAAAAAACAAAAACTAGTTGTTTCAGTCTGGCAACTAGCGTAGCAATGACGTCATGATACTAAAAATAGCGGATAGAAATGTCAGGGTGGGTACCTCATTTTGGAATTAGATTTTGGAAAGTAGAATCGATAATACTGTAAATATACATGGTAATTATCTCAATTATATATTAATTTAGTGTTATCGGAGCCGTTTTCCCCGTTATTGGGTCGTTTTTGGCCGCGGTTCAGTTTTTACGGAGAGTGCTCCACTAGAAATCCTCTCATTATTTACAAACACAATTCTCGCGATTTTTTCTGGCATTCTAAGGCATATTATCCATTTTATTAGCATTTTGTGTTAAAATAATGATCAGAGTTGGCGAGATAAACAGTTCTTTAATTTGTCGTGGATAGGACCCCTAAAATAAACGTAGAAACCGTCAGAAAACGACGCGTGACGTTTCAGGGTCAGAGGTCAATCCAGCCATCTAAGTGACGAACCAGCCTACATAATATTTTATTTCTTTGGTAATCTATCGTTTTAGGTAGGCTACGTAAAATAGCCTGCGGCTAGTAGGTCGAATGTACACAAAAGTTACCTCACTGTCAAGGCTTTAATACAAGTATATTGTGAAATATGTTTCAAAAATTATTAATAACTGAATAATCAAACCAAAATCAATGGCTAAATATATCAATACAGGCCAGAAATGAACTTTAAACAGCAGTGTTAGCTAGCAAGATTTGCTATAGGCCCTACTATAATAATATAGTATTAAAAAGTTTACATAAAAACAAATTTAAACAAGATGGCTGCTATAGTAAATGAGCATGGTTGCATCTGTTGGAAACATTGCTAGTCTTCATTTATTACTGAAAAGTTTTAATTCAATTGTTTAAAAACAAGTACATAAATGAAACAAGGAAACATTTTTGTATTTTTCAAAACATAAATCCTCCTCGAAATGTGAAATAATTATTAAAATTTAAGGAGTCACCTGTTTTTCACATTACTAGTCGCGGGCGATTTTACGTACCTTAAATGATAGATTACCATTTCTTTTTATATAGACTGATAAAACTAATAATGCTTAACGTTCTCGTTCATTTCTGTACCTACACCATTATTTTAAAAGTTCTATTAATTTTAATGAAACCAACTTTTGAATTTAGCCTCCGTACTCCAAACCAAATTTTAAAATACTCTTCTGGCATATCTAGCCCTACCACCTATGGTTGGTTATTATTACGTGAAAATCCCTCCATTTTGCTCGTGGTAAACATTTTAATCAGTAATTCTAAGAAGGTCCCTGGACCTAAGACGAAAAATCGTCAGAAGTTATGCATCCGGTCTGTAGGGCCTACGCCATTTTGTTGTTAGTATGAGCAACCGGCCACGCCTCCGGATTAGCGAGTAATATTATTATTGTCTCTCACTGCTATGGCAGGCAACACCTTTCCAATATGAGGTAGGCTGTTCGATTCACACCTCCCGGGTTTGTTGTTTTCGTAGCCTTCTCACAGCCCATGTGCTTACTAATAGAGGAATAAAACTAATGATTATGAAGCCATTGTCAATTTTAGAAATCGGAACTATCCGTTTCTATTTACGTATGTTATTTAATAATTGTCAGGTGTACTTTTGACCTCAAGATGAAGATAGCACATGTTTAAAAAAAGCAAGTAAATTCTGTTTTAATGAAGGTCACAGGTCAAGTTTTTTTTCCCTCTGTCAAGTTCAGTGAAGGGTGCCACAGGCCATCCTGACTTTGGAATATTTTTTCATTAATAATGACTTTGCACAGAAAGTTAATATATGCTAAGTTGATACTTTTTTTATTAAAAAATCATTTTGAAATTTTCAACAAAATTCCTAACGTAGCCATTTCAACTTCTGCAGTTTCGATGCCGTACTACCACTACCGGACTTTTTAAGCGTACTTTCTGAAATTCGCCATTTTAAAAATGTTAGGCCTAATTCTCGCCATCAGAATCGAAGAATAAAATGTATTCGATACGAAGATTTTAGCCTTAGTTGTATTTCATCTTTTATAGCCTAGCCTATTTTAATTAATGAATTAGCTCCCGTTTTACTTTGTCCGATACAGAAAGCTGACGCATTGAGAACTAAATTTCAGATATAAAATAGGCACCTGGTTTCATTACAACAAGACATATGGACATCCCAACCATTTTGATAAATAGAAATGTTGATTTTAAAGGTTTTTAAGCATGGAGAGAGGAGTAGTGCAATAAAATTTGTTGGGTAGGAACGAAAAAGCCTGCGTAATTTCAAAATGGCGGCAAAGTTACGAGATATTGTTAAAAAGTATGTGCAAGTGATGTTTTTTATTAGCTGTTTGTTTAAAAATGGACTGTTACAAAAAGTGGGCTTAAAATAAATATACTTTATATCTTATTATATCTTATTATATACTTTATATCTTATTTTATTAAAATGAAAAATTGAAAGAATGGAATGCGGCCTTAACAATAATTTCGAAGTGACTACTCGGAAAAAGATTTTTTGCCCCAGCGTCTCTACCTGGTCGAAACTGCAAGAAGGGTTTGAAAACTAAGTGGTTCGTGTCTGGATCACAGCACCACCTGTGGTCATGTCTGCTAGGTTTAATAAAGAAGTATTTGTAATGTATCAGGCATAGAAAACAGCTACAAAACCTGACTAAAAATTGTGTCGTGGGGTTTGAAAAGGTCATTTTGACATGTTTGTTACATTTTTCACTGCTTTTGAAACATGTAATGACCATGTAATAAAACTGTTTAATTTAACTTTTGAAAATAACTGAGCAACCAACGCTTTTACTGTTAAGGCTAAAGTCAATTTTATTATTTCTATATTTTTAGTTCAGTAGAAGACTACTTTTTATAAATATTTTAAAACCTTTTTTTATTTTTAAATTTCAGGTTCTCCTAGTTCTTAAAGATATGATTTAAAATTTAACCTTTTGGAAATATAAACACAAAGAAAAGACTTCTAAAAAAATGATTCCTTCTGAGAAGAAAAAGTTGGTTCTGATAGCTTCAGTTATAGCTGCCCACTGGACCGTGGCCATGTCGATGGTGTTCATTAACAAATCCCTGGTCAGCGGCCGTGCCCCACACTCAGACATCTCCGTCTTCCTGGTGTGGGTACAGAACATCATCGGCATATCTATTCTGATACTAATGAGTTTTATGTCCAGCTTCTTCAAATTCTCATGGGACCGCCCTGGGTTTGATCCTGCAAACCTTCTCCACCCTGATATGATCATGGCATCTGTAACCTTCACTGGGACTCTAGTGTTCAACAACCTTATGCTCAAGTACATTAGTGTTGCATTCTACCAAGTAGCCCGTTCACTGACTCTTATATTTGTTATATCTCTAAGCGTGGTCATCTTGCGTGAGAAAATTACGTCCAAGGTTATTCTTTCATGTTTTTTTATCATCATGGGATTTTATATTGGAGTTGATAACGAGATCTTGTCTAACGGTGTGCACTTGATTGGTGTTGTGTATGCAATCATTGCAAGTTTACTAGCCGCTCTTTGTGGAATTTTTTTCAAAAGGATACAGAAAAATCGTCAGCTCTCATCTGTTCAGCTAACATTCAACAACTGTTTAATCAGCACTCTAGGACTGACCCCGTTGATTTTCACAACCTCGCAGCTGGATAATTTCTTTTCCTCTTCCATGTCGGATGACGTGACCGTCCGGATGCTGTTGCTGTTGTCCGGAGCCATGAGCCTCTCCATGGGGTGGCTCAGCGCCCTCCAGATCTCCCTCACCTCCCCGCTGACCCACAACATCAGCATCAACGCCAAGTCTGTGTTCCAGACGGTGCTGGCCGTCATGTGGAGCGGGGAGAGCAGGGCCTGGGTATGGTGGCTGGGCAACGGGCTGGTCATGGCTGGTATAGCCACGTACACCGCCAACAAGCTGAGCTTCAGCAACACCCCCGCCTGCAACATAGACGTGGAGATACCAGAGCCTGCTGATGTTCCTCTAGGCTCTGTGAGATCAAACAGGGATAAATAAATATTGATAGACAGACAGATGGCTCTGTGAGATCATAATTAAGTTCTCAACACAAGCAGATGATCTTAATTTAATTGTACATAGCCCACGATAATCTGGATACATTCCAAATTCTGATGCATGATCATTCATAGAAAATTGAAGGATTAGTGATTAGTGCTACTAGCATTAAATTAAGTCTTACCTAATTTCACTGTAATTTGTTTTAGTTAGGTGTAATGTCATAGTTCTTTAAGTTAAAAGCAGTTTGTTTATTTTTACATAGCAACTTTGAATAGGTTGGATATAGAACTTACACTGTCTTCACAGTGTGATATTATAATGTATGATGTTGGAAATTCTATTCTTTCTACAGTGTGACATTAATAATAGTGTTTTATATATTCCATTGTTTTTACAGTGTGATATTAGTGTGACTTTAGATGTTTTAGATAGATTGGACATAGTTACAATAGCTACATTGTTTTCACAGTGTGATTTAAAAAGAATGGTTTTTATTTTTATAGTGTGACAAACAATATGAGAATAGAAGTTACATTGTATTTTACAATGTGATATTTCTAAGTACAATTTTTGAATATCCACTGTGTGTTTTAGACATTCCATTGTTTTTACAGTGTGAATGGTGCATCTCCCGGTATCTGCTCAGATTTAAGTTTTAACAAGTTCTCATAGTTAAAGTATTACACTACATATCAACAAATGATTGATGCTTTCAGATTTTACAACTGCTAGAGTATGACATAGATCAATATTTTGCAGATTTACCTCTGTTGTATTCCCTGAGACTAGAAAATGGTTTGAAATTCAAGCCAATCCTTGTAAATATATTTGAGAGCTCACTGGCAACTAAGGGATTATGTACATATGTAGAAATGATTATGTTATTTTAAGGAATTGCAGGGGCAGCTAATTGTTTTTAAAGATAAACAGACACTTAATGTTATTTCTCCTAAATTTATTATCTAGCCACATTTTTGTTTTTGATATTAAAAGAACACTTAGTTTCTCTTACAAACAAATCAGCTACACATTATTTATCTCTGATACCTTGGGTTGTAGAAGTAATGTCAAAACGAAAAGATTTACATTTTTTTATTAGTCTTGGCCACATATTTGTATACATAAAACCTACTGAAAAGACTTATTTAGTTTAAAAAGCTGACTGTATAATTCATGAATCACATTTCATCAATTTCTTGTCATTTTTTTTCCAGTAATCATATTAATATTAATGAACTCTTCCCTATTCCCCTTTCCCTGCCCTCCCTCATTGGTATCATAAACCTGTGGTGGCCTAGCTTAAATCACTTTTGTTTTGTTTGACGTAATTTGTTTGATTTTATGGTGAGTTAGTTATATGGGTTACCCTTGGTATAGGATCACAAATCTGCAGTTTAAAACTAATACTCTTATAAATTATTTTCCATTTATTAGCTATTATAACCTTAAGATCATCTGCCTATTATATTAGTATTTATTAGAACTATGTGATCACAATTTACCCTACATATTTAAAAATAATCTCATTATGTGACATAATCAAAAGAAGCACAGTGTCTCAGTAAAGTATATAATGCATTTTACATTATGTTTCCCACTCATTGGGAGCCTCTGTGATAATGCTCGGTGACTTGAAATACTCATGACTCTCGTTATCTTAAATGCTTTACTTTTATAAATTTAAAACTGTTGTTAATGAGATGTTGTAGGCCTTCTTTTATTAGAATTTTTTTTTAGTTATTATAATTCAAGAAGTTCCTGTTGATAAAATTGATACATACTCTCCTCTTTAAACTTTAAGATAGTCTAAGTCTAATCATTGTTTATATTCTAGTAGGGGTTTTTCAAGAAACTAGAACTTGAAAGTAGGTAGCTGGTGAAGCTAGCAGCAGTGTAGTGGTCACTAGCGTAGTATAGTGGCCAGTTGTGTAGTGTGTAGCTAGCAGTAGTGTAACGAGTAGTACAGTAGCATTAGAGTAGCTTCAGATAGTGAAAATATTTATAATGTAACCATTTTACTGCACCCCTCTGTGTTGTCTGACCATCTCTTAAATATTTTATGTATATATTACTTTTACCCAACACAGAGTATAGTTAGCTCCCTTCCCATGTATTCAACCCCATCTTTTTATGCAACAATTTTTAAACCTTTTTATTTAATGTGTAACAAATGAGGGTTCATTTACTATGGTGTTTATTTAAATTGTATATGATGATAAACTAGTACATTAGGGCCTCTGTGGGATTGTGTAAGTAAGAAAGTCAGAACTTTGATATGGGGATCAGACTGTATGGTGGTGGAGAGTGAGGACCTAGTTTGGGGGATCAACTAGGTCTTTTGTGGGGTCAGATAGGTCTTTAGGGACATAAGCTTGTACTGGAATTGGATTGAGGACCTCGTTTGTTGGGGGATCAATCAGGTCTTTCATCTGGTCAATCAGGTCATTATAGAGACTAACTGGTACACGGGTGCTCGAGGACCTATGATTGTGGGGTCAAACAAATCATTTAGGAAGATTGTGTACTAGGGTGTATCTTGACTTTTTCACAAAACCTTGTTAATTTTTTTAACCCTAGCTTAGTTCTCTTATAACATTTTTTAATGTATATAAAAAAAGCAACCTAAAGTCTTTAGTCATTATTTTATTTTATACAGGAACCTGACTTCATTTGTTGTTATCTCCCATCATGACTTAGCCAAAGTAATGTCACCTGTTTTAAGGAAACTTAGATCTGATCTAGTTAAATGGCATTTGTTTTCAACCTGGATATTGCTATGTTCTTATCATGTTGCAACAAATAATGACAGCCTATAATAGTATGTTCTTATATATAAATGTCAAATAATGACAGTCCATATATTGGTGTGTCCTTATAATGTTAAATAATGACAGCCTATGTCTTTATAATGTTAAATGACAGCTTGTGTGTGCATGTCCTTATGATGTTAAATAATGACAGCCTATATATATGTATGTCCTTATGTTATTACCTGTTGATACCATTTGAACACCAATGGTGTTTTTAGTCTTTCATTAGATGGCTTGTATGACAACAATGGATGGTTAAGTTATTTATTTGAAGATTATTCCTTTTTGCAGATTTATTTTTACGGTGATATATTTTGTTAGCATTTTGATGATAAATACAGTGCCATTTTCAATTTTATATTCACTTTTTTTTAAAACTGGAAGTTATATTTTTATTCTAAAATTACAATTTGTTTTCTCTACGTTTTATGTCATTAAAAAAAAATGAATATTCTTTTCATACTACACAAACCTCAGAACACTATACACCCCAATACACTATACACCCCAATACACTATACACCCCAATACACTATACACCCCAATACACTATACACCCCAATACACTACACCCCAATACACTATACACCCCAATACACTATACACCCCAATACACTATATACCCCAATACACTATACACTCCAATACACTATATACCCCAATACACTATACACTCCAATACACTATACACCCCAATACACTATATACCCCAATACACTATACACCCCAATACACTAGAACACTAACCCTCTCCAGAAGACCTCACACTACACACCCCAGCACACCACATTCAACACTCCATTTTACTTCCCTGCACACTCAAGTACCCCACCCACCTCAGCACACAACAGTAGACACCACAGTACACTCCAAACCAAAACACCCCAGTAACTACACACCCCAGAGCACTCTGAACCCTAAATCTAAACATAACTGGTCTAATGTTCTCTTTTAACCTTATAATTTTTTTTTAATTCCTGTATTTGTTTCCCATTTTAAAACCAGTGTGTTTTTGTTTTAACTATTTTAGTTGCTTGCCCCTTCTAGACTGAACTTTGAAATAATAAAATATATTTGAAGTGTGTGAACTTTGACTTGATTTAATTAAATATGTTTTATTTTAGAGTCTGTAGTTCTGATGACAATGCAATTCTAGTTTATAGTTTATAACTGTAGTAACATTTTATTTTTTTATGTAATAGGTCTATAACTCTGAAGATGAAGAGATGATAAAAATTATTTATTTCATAAGTTATAGACAACTACATATTGACTGCATTGTTAGTGTTTAGCTATGGTTGACTGATACGTTTCTCTATTGATAACTGGCTATATGGGTTTAATAGTTGGTGGGAAAGAAACACCACGAAAAAGTTGCAACCGATTTGGCATGGTAGCTATTTAAAGACACATACCTGACTAACTTCAGAAACATCTAGAAAGGAAGGAAATAACAAACCTCCTTTGACAGTATTATGTTAAGTCTGCCTGGAAAATGGAGGAAAGAGTGTGTAGAGAAGCCGTGACTAAAATTAAATGAAAGCAACAAAACAGTTACATTTAGGTTCAATTATGTTCGATGAAGTTTAAGTTTCAAGTTCAGGGATAAAGTCAAGCGTTAGGAGTGTAATGAGTAAGTGAATTGATGTGTCAGAAAGAGCTTAGTAGCAACAGTAACTGAGCGACATGAAAGGGGAGGCAACACCCAGTAACTTTGATCACTTTGAATTTTCATTGTTATCGCACTTAGTTACTGAATCTTGTGGCCAATGTTCCCTTTAAGGGGAAAAAGTTAATGTGCAAAATGTATTTTCTGTGCGCGCTGTTCTGAAAGTCTTATACAAGGATATATTTATTTTACAAAATCACTGCGCGTCAGCTCAAATCTCATGTGCAACCGCGCAGTTTAGAGGGAACATTGCTTGTGGCTGAGTCCAAAGCGACCCCATAAGAGACAATTATGTTAAGTTAGTCAAAAAGTAATAATAAGAAACGAAAGGCGTGTCAGACAGGATAAAACAAAATGGGAAAAGATCATTTGTCAGTGAAGCAGAAGCATCCCAAATTTAATATCGTGGACCAAACTTTGGTGGAATCGTCCACAACCGAGATAGGTGTGGTGGCGTCTCTATGCTGCACATGTGTGTGATCCATATGAATGATATTGATGAATTGTGTTCCTAAAATGTTAACTGAGCTGGCGCAAAAATGATCAAACATTGTTAGCACACAAAAAAAATAGAAAAAAAAAGCGCAAAAATAAAATATAAAACTCATGAGCGCTGCCCTTGCATCCTCAGCACACGTAGTCACTACATTTGACCACCCCCCCCCCCACTTTCCCATAGGAGCATGACGGCGTTTGTGTACGAACACTCGGAACTATACCCCTGGTTATGATTTACTGACATTCCCACTTCATTCCATTCCAAAACATATTTTTAATGTTGAATTGCTGTTCAAATTTTTCCAAAATCTTGTCAGAACTCTGTCAACATAGAGTATTTTGATCAATACCTATTACAATTTTTTAAACAGTTTTCTAAAACGCGAAATAACGGCTAAAATTAGTTTTCTAACATTGCTTTATTATAATGCAAACATGTGACGTCACACTATCTGACCCCCCCCCCCCACTTCATCACACACCGTCACAAAATTACGGACCCCCCCCCCCCCCTTACGAGTGTGACGTCATTTATGGACGACCCCTTTCCAAAACGCACATTCTTACTGACATTTCACTTTTTAGCATTCCAAAACATGTTTTACTGACATTTCTTAAATTCTTCTTAATAGCATTCCAAATCACACATTTCATTCTATTCATTCTTCATTCATGACTTATGTTTAGTAAATTGACAATTTCAGGACTATGCACTTTAAATATTCATTTTTTCAAAAGAGCTTTTTGAGTGTGTGTTGTAATCCTTACTGGGCGAAAGCGAGGCTCGTGTTTGTCCGTTACACTCCGTTGACTTTCCGATTTGTCACGATCTGAATAAGTGCCGTCTGCCATACATCTCATCTAGTCACGTAGTTGGTTCTATTTCACTGCACTAATGTATTCGTCGCGTCATTGCCATACACTTCTCGCGAGATTTCAAGTTAGGAAATCTTGAAGGCCTCAGGGCACTTGAAGAATGGGCAGATTATAGGGATACTGCGGAGGCGGAGGGGGTCATGTCTAGGATAATTAAAAAATGAGGAGGTTGTAGCAGTGTTTCTTTCAGGCTTTTTTTTTACTCCGGGAGGGAGGGGGTACTAATTTCGGGGTGGGGGCCGATAGTAAAATACATTAACACAATTCAAGACATGTTTACAAACTTTATTCTACTTGTAACCAATAGGGCTGGTAAGTAGGTCACCAACCAGTTCTACGGTTCAATAGAACCTGCATTAGCCATAGAACTGGTTGGTGACCTA